AGGACCCCAATGGAAATAAGTTAGACAGTCCTCGATGACGCACTGACTTTCTTGGGTTATCCTGGGTGGCTAACCCTCCGGGGTTAAAAATCCGAACGAAATCTTATCTGAATGGCATACTACCAACAATATTGAAGACGAAATGGACGTTTCGAAGCAAGCGTTGCTTGTGTCAACATTGCACACCGCTAGAGCAACATGTATCTTTTCTTCAGTGTAGTAAAACTTCAAAAGCTGCATCAAATAACCATGACAAGTTTATTATAATAGCCACACTTAATTTTGCTTAAAATACCTGCCAAAATATTAATACGTGCAATATTTTAGTATTTTGTTTGATATTATTAGTCATTATTTTTTTTATTAATTGCAATTGCAGAGCTGGATATAAAGTTGATATAAGGTTAAAATCTTATCAAGAATTTATCAGGAAAAACAAATTAGCAATATTGAACAATGGTAATATTTAATCAACCATAGCATGAAAAAAAAATAATGTATTTGTGAAATAGTTTTAAGAAATAAATTATTATTATTATTATCTGCATCTAAAATTATGTTAGGGGTATTGGGAACCCAGTTGCCATTCTTGCAATTGCAAGTTGATATAGCTCTGAACCTGCAGTTTATAGGACGACGGTTCAGTTTCCAGTGCTACTCAAATATTTTTTTTTTTTTTTTTTTTTTCAACAAGTCGGCCGTCTCCCACCGAGGCAGGGTGACCCAAAAAAAAAGAAAGAAAATCCCCAAAAAGAAAATACTTTCATCATCATTCAACACTTTCACCACACTCGCACATTATCACTGTTTTTGCAGAGGTGCTCAGAATACAACAGTCTAGAAGCATACACATATAAAGATACACAACATATCCCTCCAAACTGCCAATATCCCAAACCCCTCCTTTAAAGTGCAGGCAATGTACTTCCCATTTCCATTTATTACTTTTATGATATGTTGAGACTCTCAATTCTGTATCTTACGTATCTGAAATGTAAAATGGTGGATGAAGGTACATTTGATTCATGTTGTACATATCTCAAGTCGAAATCTGTGATGCTTTACAATATAAGATATTTATTGCTCTTATCCTTATAGAAATACTGAAAAATGTATAAATAAATAAGTGAAGAATCACCAACAGGTGGGAGCGGAGAGTGACGATGAGAGGCCTAGCAAGAGTGGAACCACAGGACCTGGCAGAGGTCACAACATCAACAAGATGCACAAGTGTTCTTACTGTGATTACACTACATATTTTACCACCAATTTGAGGAACCACATGAGAAGACATACCGGGGAGAAACCATACTCGTGTCCACACTGTAATTACAGTGCTATTACAAAGCAAAGTTTAGACAGACACCTGCGTACCCACCAAAGAGAAAGGCTGTACGTGTGCCCATTCTGCTCATACAAGAGTAATGACAGTGCTGATTTAAGAAAGCATTCTCCTTGTGTTCATAGCATAAATTTTTGGTAAAATATTGCTTATGCAGATTTTTAGTTTATCTTTATAACAGTAAAGGGATTTATTTTAAGATAGCTTGCTTTAACTCTCAGCATTAAGGAAGATTTTGGATTATGTAAGAACTGTGTAAAATAATTTTTTAATAAAATTAATACTGTATTTTTCTAGCCTTTCTCATTGGATTATTCCCCAGCAGTTTTCTGTCCCGTAATAGAGAAACTTGGAGCCATACATTATGAACCAGAGTTATAACTTTTTTTTTTCAGGGATCCTGTACATCAGCTTTATTCATTCAAAACAATCACCTTCGTATTTGTTTCACCAATATAAAATATGTGTATCATTAATAGTGTATGATACATGCGTATTTTTGACCACAGTTGCTTAGTAAATGCTACATTACTGTATTTACACTTTGTACATATTTTTTATTCAGTAACAGGAAACAAGATACTTTAATAAAATATAAACTTCAAAGTATATAATGTATAAGTAAATAATTTTTTTACTTACACGCACCAATGTTTGAATTAATTTTGAATAAATCTATCTTTTTATTTAAAATTTTTCTGCTTTTAAATTGTATCCCACATGGATAAATATGTACTTGTGTAAAGTAATTGTGCAAAATGAAGAAAGCTCAGTAGTTCTCTTCATGGTAGTGGCCTCCTAGATGGGAGTCGCGAGTGTGACCACCATGCAGGTGGTACGCAACCATACGTTACCGTTAAGTGACGGGCTAGTAGTTAAATTTATTCATTCCAGCCAGATGGTAAAAAGTTTTTTTTTTTTTTTTTTTTTCAATCTATCATAAATAGCTACAGTAACAAAAATGTGTGATCACAGTTGGGTGTTGTAAACACAATCCCTGAGACCATTTGTTCAGTAGGTGGATGCCCTTCAAGGATGGGTATACCTTGATGCCAGCAAAGGGCTCTTGATTCAAGAAATTGGAGCTTTCTTCCCCTCTATCAGACTAGACTTAATTGTGTATACCATTATCCTATGAGTTAACCTTCTGTGCATGACTAAAGTATTAATAATGAAGAGCAGGTAGATGAGCATTGCAGTTATCAAGCAGCATTAGATCCATGAAATCTTTATAGAGTCCAGCAATATTTGCAATGCTCCTGAACTTAGTAACAAAATGTTATCAAATATTTTAGTGGTTAAATCCTGTGTAATCTAAGCCTTATAATGAATTGTCAGCACTTTTTTACCCTTGAGTGCTGGTGGATGAACAGTCTTGTTCATGACTTAACATATGCACTTGTGTGTGTCAGCTGCATTAACACTGATCAAAACAGTTAAATTTTCTTAGATCATGGACCTCTCAGCAGAGGTGCCTTGATCCTTGAATTGAGATGAAATACCTCCCAGGCACTGTATGACCCCTATGAGTTTAGCACTTCCCTGTGATTAAAATTTAAAAAGGAAAAAATTCTTAGAGCATGGTTTCTTATCCAAGGGTTCATGATCAACTGGGAAAGGGGGGAAGATTAAATATAAAATTAGGGATATTGTATATTCTTTGACCTTTTTAAAGATTTATTTTATAAATAATCTGTAAGTGGCTTCTTAATTTATTTTTACCATAATTATTAAAGGATTTAAATTTCTATGGAGCTGAAAAATGAGCGATGTATTTGACACTATGAAACTTGTCTTAGGGTTTTGTATTGCATTGTTTCGTATATGTTTCAAGTCATTGTAAAGGGACAAAAAATGCAAGGCGTATAATGATGTTTTTAAATTATGTTTTTAGACAAAGAATTTTAACAACTGTGAACCAGTGTACTGGTGGTGAGATCGAGTGTTCTGGTAGTGAGGTTGTGAATGTTCTGGCAAATGAGTGTACTGGTGGTGAGATTGAGTGTTCTGGTAGTGAGGTTGTGAGTGTGCTGGCATGTGAGTGTACTGGTGGTGAGATTGAGTGTTCTGGTAGTGAGGTTGAGTGTACTGGCGTGGTCATGAGTGTACTGGTGGCGAGATTAAGTGTTCTGGTAGTGAGAGGCTGTGTGTGTTCTGGTAGTGAGGCTGTAAGTGTACTGGTGTGGCCATGAGTGTATTGGTGGTGAGACTGAAAAAGTGTACTGGTGGTGAGACTATGAAAGCATGTACTGATGGTGAGGCTATGAAAGAGTATACCGGTGTAGAGACTATGAAAGAGTGTACTGGTGAGGCTGAGTGTACCGGTGAGGCTGAGTGTGTGCCAGTCTGTGAATGAGCAGCCTTAGATCCTGACTTAAAATGAGCATATTTAGACTATGGTGATATATAAACAAACTTAAACTATGACTAAAAATGAGTAAACTTTGATTATGACTAAATCTACAACCATACATGTGGTGTTTTACTTGCTTAAATGATTTTTACAAGGTTCTGATAGGAAGTTAATAATAGTTAAAATACAATTTACAATTCTATTCACTAAAATTAAAAATTGTAATTTTACAAACTATAAAAAGTTGAATAGTTGTTTATGACAACAAACAGAAGATTAGTTTGCAATTAGATATTGTTCAGTTATTATTTTAAATGATAGATTAGAAATTATTAGATTACAGTGTCCAAGCACACAGTACTTGTTTTAGCTTTGACTTAAATTCTGTAAGTATGTCGCAGTTTTTTATTTCATCTGACAAGTTATTCTATATTTTTGGCCCATCAGTTTTTATAGTTTCTGTAGATGTTCATTCGAATATGAGGAATATTTAAAAAGTATTTGCTTATAGTTTTCAACTACATTTTTCCAGGAAATGTCTTAGGTCAGAACCACCATTACAGTATAGTGTTCTAAAGATGCAGAATAAATAATTGTATGTATTAATGACATTAAATTTAGTCGATTAGGGGACTTTAAGGGCATAGTTAGTAGCCTATAATTAGATTTTGTGGTTGTTCTGAGAGCTGTCATTTGTTGGGCAATGATTGGTTTGATGTGGGTAGCCAGAGTGGAGCCCCAGACACAGATACCATATATGAGGTATGGGTATATGAGGGGAAATTTTGCCTAATCTTTTTTTTCTGTTTTTGTTTCATTAGTTCTGTTATTATCTAATTGTAGGTATGATCTGTTTCTAGAAATTGTACAGAATGTTGATGAAACTGTGCGTGCTAGTAGTGAGACTGAGCGAGTGAGGCTGTGTACAAGTATAGACCTGTGTATTATATGCTCAAGAAACTAGCACAGTAAATGCTGCTGATGCAGTACTGTGTATCATATACTGTACATATTAAAAAGTGTTTACCAGTTTTGTAAAACTTTACAATAAGTAAATCCTCCCAAGGGGTGTGTCTTAATGTTTATAAAGGGTCTGTGATCCAAAGAATTGGAGCTGCCATCCTTTCTAGGATCATTTCCAGAGTCATAACACCATACTGAAACAAAACTGAAGAAAACACTCTCCTGATTGCTATAAGTCCATTTTTTTTTTTTTTTACTAAAAGTTTATCCCTCATCTTTATTTTTATTAATTTATACGAATTTTATCGGGAAAAACAATAATTTTATTCTATTATATTTCCAGCTACAAAACGGCTGGGATCCTGGCGTCAGCGCATATCAGCAGCAAAGAAAGGTATAATTAGAATAAATTATACCCTTAATTAAATTAATTGTTCAAAATGTCTAGCAAACATTGGACTTATTTTTGAGAGCTAAATCACCTTTGGATTTCACTACCGATTTTAATGTAGAAACCTCATTGCTTCTTATGTGGGAAAAGTTGTCTTCAGTCATGGCATGAAGCTTGCAAAGCTACGAGAGCATCTGAAACAAAATTCACCCTGAAAATTTTGGAGACAGGCTGAATATTTTCATGGTGAATAAGGCATGATTTAATACATATGGCACTTGACCCAGATTTGGATTTTATCCAACTTAGAAATGTGCTGTGAAAACTTGTAAGGTGGCCAATTTAATTACCAGAACTCTCTTCATGGGTGGTGCCTTGATGTTAGTTATAGGCTTATGATCCAAGGAACTAGAGAAATCCTCCTCATCCTTGGATCAAATCTGATTACGTCTCTTTTCTAGCTGCTTTATTTCTTTAGTGTGTTTAGTGCTTCCCATGAATGATATAATAACTGCTAAAATTAAGACATTATACATGATGTATAATTAAAATGCAGCTCTTCCTCATTCAGCATACAGTTGGCTGGTTTTTAATCATTATATAGATGACGGTTCAGTGGAAGAAGAATTTCTCTACTGCAGACCGCTTGTAACAACCACGAAGTGGATGTGTTCAGCCTCGTCAAGGAATTTTTTTGCAGATCATGACTACGTTAAGTGGAGCAAGAAGCTGCATTAATATGCCCTGGTGGGGCACCATCATACTTGAGAATAAATACAGATTTATAGGTCTCATGAAAGCAGAAACTTCTTAAATTTTTATCATTTACTCTATCCTACATCAAAATACCTTTCCCTCAAAATAATAGACCCAGAATTTGAAAGATGTCACATTCACCTCCATGACGGTTGTCACTTTCATACATGCTTCTTCCACAAATTATTTCATCTTAGCCTGAAAATTCATTGGCTCTCACAAAGGTCAAGTTTTCACTCAGATTATGGAATTTGGAGAAGAAGGTTTGTTATTTTTTCCTGACAAAAAGAGAGGATAATCTCCATCAAAAATTTATGGATCCACATTTTGTCTTTGGCCTGGCTTGTTTGGCAGACATTTTTGTCTTATTAAAATGACCTGCATTGTTTGAATTTAGAAACAGAAACAATGAGCATGAATGCTGGGAAGAAGTTGATGGTAGTTTTTGACATGGTATTATGGAAAAAGTTGTCTTAGAAAAACATTTACAAAAATGTTTGAATTGTGCAAAAGAAGATGAAGAAATCTTATCCAATGCTATCAGGGGTAAAATTTTTTATTTATTTGATAACCCTGGTAAATTAATTTCAAGAGCTGAGGCCTGTTGTATGAATTTGTAATCCATTTGTCATTGACCTGAATTATTTCAATGTTAGTAACTTGGAAATATATGATTTGATTGACTTGCAAGCCAAATTAATATTGTACCATTATTAAAAATGAATTCCAGGCAAAAAATTTAACAGAATTTTGATATTTAGTAGAGTGATATCTTATTCTTTCTATGTGAACTCTGCAGTCTCATTCTGTTTTAAACTGTAGCTCACAGTGGGGGGGGAGGAAGGGAGTTCCACAACTTTGAATTGAGTGAGTGAGGGAGTGAGTGAATGAATGAATTAGTGGGAGGGAGAGAAAGAGGCATGAACATCTGCTTCTCAGCAGAGTAATCAGATGAGAAGATAGAAGGCTTATAGAATACATACTGTACAGTATCTACTGGAGGTGTCATGGACACACACACACATGTAATTCTCTTTAAATTTGTCTCAAGTGATGGCTGTTCGGGTTAGCATTGTTGGCTACAGCAGCAAAGGTTATACTAGTATGTCATTCTTTCTGTGGTTCAGTTGTCCTCACAATTTCTGTATCTTTTTTAGAGTACTGAAACATTTTGGAAATTTTTGCCACAGCATTAGCATGCCAAAAATCTACTGGCTTCTGAAGTAGTTTTGTCAGTTTTGTCCCCAGGATGTGACCCACACCACTCCACTAACACCCAGGTACCCACTTTACTGATGTTGAACATAGATAACCGGTGTAAGGAAACAAGCCCAATGTTTCTACCCTAGCCGGGAATCGAACCCGGACAATCACTGCATATTTTATATATACCTAATTTTTTAAGACACTTTAAGGTGTTATATAATTAATTCTGAAGTAGCGCTCTTTCTCATAGCTTTTACACCACAGCAATTCTTACCAACCAGTGTCCTTTTTGAACTTATGTTTTCAGAGGTGAAAACTACAGAGTGCTGTGAAATGTAAAAAAAAAAAATCAAAACACATTGTCTTTCACTTTTCATGTAGCCATGAACCAAAATAATAACAAAGCCTATGGGGTGGCATAGTCTCCCATCTTGCAGGTGCAAGCCCCTGTGTAAGGTAGCTGTGTTTTGAAGGTTATCCTTCAGCAAGTAGTGAGTCTATATTTATTGTTGAGATAATTGATAATATAGTGAAAAGTATAGTAAAAGTGTAATCTTTTTTCAGGACATTATTTTGTTGCCAAACTAGGCAAGTTACAGGTAACATGTCCACTTTGATTCGTGGACAGAGGATCCAGCTGCCTCCACTCTTTTGTGCTGAATATTCAACCCACACAGGCCCAGAAACATTAATTCACATTCGTTCTATACATACTGGTGTTCTTAATACAAGATTAAATGAATGAAAGATTATCTCTCCTAACATGGCCTATACAGTATATGGGAGTGTAATATACATACTACTTTTATTTTTTATTTTTTACTACTGGTAATACCATGAGTAATGGCATGTGCACATCAAGGGCTAGCTATATTTATATTCTCTAAAAATTCTAAATTTCAAATTCAAATCTTTATGCATAAATATGTTACAGGCATAGGTGTGGTAAAGTGGGGGCATAATAATTGAAATACTTTTACAAAGCCCATATTATGCTCAACGTTTCAAACAAGAACTTAACACAGGAACTGAATTAAAAGTATTCAAAGTTTTATTTTTTTATGACTTTGTGAAAGGCATGGCTTAATTAAACTATAAGAAACTCAATAAGCCTTGAAAGCATATCAGGAAAGATCCTTTAAAAAATACACAGATGTTTATTGAGAACATCAGAGCCATGCTAGTGGTAAAAATGTGTACACTCTTGAGTAAGACAGACTTACCCTACAGATGGTGATGATTCGCGAAGGTCAGAGAGCCAGCAGTGGAGGAGCCATGCGACATATGAAGGTCCACACCACCAGGAAGATCCATCAGTGCCCCTACTGTCCTTACTCAACCCACTTTATCACTAACTATAAAAGACATGTTGCTACTCATACGGGCGAGAAACCCTATGCCTGTACCCTCTGTTCTTATAGGTCATGTTCGAGAGATCATCTCAAACGCCATATGAATACTCACAGTGGAGAGAAAGCATATGCGTGTACTAAATGACCTTATTACTCCTTGCGTAATTATAATGTGGCAAAAGATTTCTTTATCAACCACATAGCTGTATATATAGGCACTCAGATCAAACCTTAGATTAACTTCAGTGAAATAATACATCATTGAATAACAGGCACAAATGTACATAACCCTTACCCATTATAGCCATACAAGTTTAATGCAGTACTGCATTTTAATTAACATTAAATTTTTATTGTGTAGTGTGATTGCAGCATTTTTTGTTTCATTCTCCAGCAGTGCTATAAGTCTTATTTGAAATGGTAACACTTAAATTAGAGTGCCTATCACACTTTTTAAGGCCTCATAAAACAAAATATAAATTCCAAATAACAAAAAATATAATAAATAAATAATAGCTGTTGACCAGAAGGTACTCTTTCCATGAAAACCTTACCTGGAGTATACCTGAAGGGTGTTCCAGGGATCAGTGCCCTTGCAACCCATCCCATGACCAGGCCTTGGGAAAAGCTGTAGAATGAAGGGTCATGAATATGTTTACTTCTTTGGGTCTTGATGGTAAGCAGCTGATGTAGTAAAATATATTTTTTAAAGTAAGTGTAATTTTGATGTACAGTAGAGCCTTGGTTTTCGTTTGCCCTGTTTTTCATCGAATTTGGTTTTCGACGACTTTTTTCATCAAAATATTGTCCCAGTTTTCGTTTGTCACCTTGGTTTTTGTCCGCCGTACCGAACGTGTCCGTGCACCAGCACCCACACAAAGCATCCCATGCACACATTCTAAGTCAGCCTGGCTTTGTTTCTTGTCAAACGAACAGTACCCTGTGGGTTCATACAAAACATTTCATAATAATCCATTGTTTTTGTGCTTGTTTATTGAGTGTGACTGCTAAATAAGCCACCATGGGGCCAAATAAAGTTCCGAGTGCCAGTCCTTTGATAAAGAAGGTTAGAAACACAATAGAATTCAAGAAAGAACTTGTAGAAAAGTACGAAAGTGGAGTACGTGTGGTCGATCTCGCCAGGATGTACCAGAAGTTCTCGTCAACGATCAGTTCCATCCTGGCGAAGAAAAAAGAAATCAAGGAATCTGATGTTGCGAAAGGGATAAGTCTGCTAATGAAACAGAGATCGCAAACAATTGAAGATGTTGAGAAGTTGTTGTTGGTGTTATTTGTGGAGAAATATCACCCTTACAAAGCTGTTGCAAGCCGTGTCTGCAACACGTTCAGTGACAGTGCCGTATCCCATTTTAGGCAAATCTTAAAGAGAAACCAGAAACAGACCTCTCTGGACAGATTTTTTGTGCGACAGGGGTACAGTGACTCTCAAGCTGGTCCTAGTGCCAGTAAAAGATAAAGAAGGGACTTGATACCTGAAGTCCTTATGGAAGGGGATTCCCCTTCCAAACAATAACCTCTCCTCCCTCTCCCCTCCTCCTTGTCTTCCATACGCCAACAAGAGTCTTCAATAAAGGTAAAGCTGATTTAAATGTTCATTTATCCATTAAAATTAGTGCTTTATATTTATTTCTCATTGTTTTCGTATGTAAAACTATATTTATTCTCTATAAAATGTATTTTTTGTTAACATTTTTGGGTGTCTGGAAAGGGATTAATTAGATTTACATTATTTCTTATGGAAAATATTGCTTTAGTTTTCATCGAATTTGATTTTCATCAGACTCTCTGGAACGAATTAAAAACGAAAACCAAGGTTCCACTGTACAGCATTTAACTTGAAGGTTTTGCCCTGATGTTGAAACTAATACAACAATTGAAAGCCACCATAGAATTGTATATTTATCTAATACTCACGTATGTTCCATCTTTGGAAGTGCAGTGCAGTATTTTGGCCTTGACCATTCAGATGTCAAAGTCAAACTCAGTCAGAATATTTACCCTCCTTAACCCCCATTCTTTCCCTATCGTCTCTTGAAAGTTAAATGTTATACAGTATTTCCAATTATGCTTCAGAAAGGGAAACAAAAAAATTTTGTGAACCAAATAACTGCTCTATCTACTTACCTTTGTTATTGATTTTATGGTGTTGCATACACATTCAGTCAGTCCAAGTCATTTATTGAAAAATATATTAGCATTTCCATGAATATCCAGTGGGTGGGATTAAATTATGGAGAATCAAATACAAAATGGGAATTGGCACAGTTACTTTTTGCTGATGATACTGTGCTTATGGGAGATTCTAAAAAAAAACTGCAAAGGTTAGTGGATGAGTTTGGGAGTGTGTGTAAAGGTAGAAAGTTGAAAGTGAACATAGAAAAGAGTAAGGCAATGAGGGTATCAAATGATTTGGATAAAGAAAAATTGGATATCAAATTGGAGAGGAGGAGTATGGAAGAGGTGAATGTTTTCAGATATTTGGGAGTTGACGTGTCAGCGGATGGATTTATGAAGGATGAGGTTAATCATAGAATTGATGAAGGAAAAAAGTTGAGTGGTGCATTGAGGTATATGTGGAGACAAAAAACGTTATCTATGGAGGCAAAGAAGGGAATGTATGAAAGTATAGTGATACCAACACTCTTATATGGGTGTGAAGCTTGGGTTGTAAATGATGCAGCGAGGAGGTGGTTGGAGGCAGTGGAGATGTCCTGTCTAAGGGCAGTGTGTGGTGTAAATATTATGCAGAAAATTCGGAGTGTGGAAATTAGGAGAAGGTGTGGAGTTAATAAAAGTATTAGTCAAGAGGGCTGAAGAGGGTTTGTTGAGGTGGTTTGGTCATTTAGAGAGAATGGATCAAAGTAGAATGACATTGTGAGCATATAAATCTGTAGGGAAACGAAGGCGGGGTAGGGGTCGTCCTCGAAAAGGTTGGAGGGAGGGGGCAAAGGAGGTTTTGTGGGCAAGGGGCTTGGACTTCCAGCAAGCGTGCATGAGCATGTTAGATAGGAGTGAATGGAGAAGAATGGTATTTGGGACCTGATGAGCTGTTGGAGTGTGAGCAGGGTAATATTTAGTTAAGGGATTCAGGGAAACTGGTTATTTTTATATAGCCGGACTTGAGTCCTGGAAATGGGAAGTACAGTGCCTGCACTTTAAAGGAGGGGTTTGGGATAATGGCAGTTTGGAGGGATATATTGTGTATCTTTATATGCATATGCTTCTAAACTGTTGTATTCTGAGCACCTCTGCAAAGAGTGATTATGTGTGAGTGAGATGAAAGTGTTGAATGATGATGAAAGTATTTTCTTTTTGGAGATTTTCTTTCTTTTTGGGTCACCCTGCCTCGGTGGGAGACGGCCGACTTGTTAATAAAAAATACACTACTGTATACATATTGATGGAATTAATTTTTAGAAGCATGTATATACAGTGTTACCTCGAGTTTCGAACTTAATTCATTCCAGAAGGCTGTTCGAGTGCCGATACCGAATGAATTTGTTCTCATAAGGAATAATGTAAATTAAATTAGTCCACTTCAGACTCCCAAAATTACACTTACAAAAACACTTACAAAAATACACTTACATAATTGTTCGAGTTGGGAGGTGTTCGAAACTCAAGGTAACACTGTATGTATACACTCATTGGTAGAGAAATTCACACTATACTGTAATCATATAGCATTCAGCAAAGGTGTTAGTGAGGCTGTTCATTACAAGCACACTGCTAACTGATATTCTCTGTTTAAACATTGCCAGCTGTCTGAATCTGAATTTTGATATCTTGGTAGTGAAATGATTAACCGTGACTATTCATTTGTCTCTTGTTTGATTAAAGTTCCCAAGTTTTTGACCATTCATTTTGAAAAAATTCTGAACAAGAGAAGGCATGCAGATACAAATGGGTAGATTTTAGGAAAGTATCTGGAATCTCAGTTTAAAATAAGAAAAATGTTCCAGTACCTGCTTTTTACTAAAGAAAAAGATCATTGTCTTTAAAATACAGAGACTGCCACATAAAAAAAAAGTACTGTACACCATTGTTAATAATGTACTGTACAGTATTTATTTTTTTTTAACATTCCGAACATATTTCCACCGAGGTTTAGCGACCCAACAAAGAAAGAAGCACTTTCACTGTCACTCATTCACTCATTGCCTTGCCAGGTAAAATTTGTGCAAGTTTTACCTGTATTGTTTACAGTGTCTATCATTTACTTATCTAACTCTTTCTGCAGAATGTGTGTTGCAATATATGCAGGAATGCCTCCAAATGTGTTCAAGATATTGCACTTTTTTAAATTTCTTTAAAAACTGCATTTGAAATAAATTTGTGTAGGTGATAGTGTCAAGGATTTGTTACAAGTAAACAGTTCTGTTTTTGTTGTAGTATTTTATTATCAACACAAAACTAATATTGACAGAAAACCTGCACAAATGGACTACACTTAACAACAATAAAAATTTTCTCACTTGTAAGTTTAAAACTGCAATATACAGTACTTGTATTTTCTTAAATATTGAGTAAATTTTTGTGTCCTTTATTATATTTATGACCAGCCGCTTACAGCCAGGGTTGCCAAATTTTTTTTATCAGGATTTTTATACAGTGCTCACCAAATTATCTTTTTTATTCATCCATATTACCATTCAAAGTTATCATATGATAAGCTGATAATTGAGATGCTCTAAATTACTATTTCTAATAACCGTGTTCGTTAGAGATGTTTTAAATAATTAAAGGAAAAGCAAATTTTCATTCAGGCTATGTAATATTTAATGGTTATCAGTTTAATAGGCACATCAATCCTAATTATATTGAAAATATTATTATTTTCATGCTACTGGACTTTGTACCGTAGACAAACTTTAAGAGATGTTATGAGAATAACTTCTGGACTTCTTGCACAAATAATTCTAGAATATAAGACTAACGAAGGAAAAAAACATTCTAGATTATTGTATACTTTATGATTAGCATCAACAGTTACATGTTAACCCTTTCAGTGTCGGTTCCATAATATTACAGCTTGAGAGCAAGCATCGGTCCCGTAATACTACGCCAAAATTCTAGCTCCTTCATATCTGGTGGAAGAAAGCTGGTAGACCTACATATGAAAGAATGGGTCTGCATGGTCTGTGTGCACAGTATAAAAAGAATCCTGCACCACACAGTGCATAATGAGAAACAAAAAACTTGGACCGTGTTTTGGGTTAAAACAGCGAATTTGCAGTGCATTTTTGTGTGGTATTTATGGTTGTATACTCGTTTTCTTGGGCTCATTTGATAGAATGGAAGATATATTACAGAAATGGAGATGATTTTGATTGGTTTCACGATGAAAAGTACCTTGATGTGGAGCTCAAAGTAGCAGAAATGTTTGATTTTTGCCGATGTTCAAGAGGAAACAAATGACATCATTGTCTAATACGTGTCCAACTGTCCAGTCTAATATGCAGTCACAGATGGGTTGACATTATTTATACAGTTATTATTATAATGCAGTAGTCTGCATAACAGTAAATCTTCTATTTTATGTGAGAATAAAAATTCAAAATGGAAACCAAGAGTAATATAAGAGGGGCCTGGAGACATGACTAATGAACAGAAAATGTTATTTTAGTGCCAGGAACGTCTGCCTTGTTTATTCTGGACCCTATTTTGAAATTTGTGTGAAATTGGCCAAATTGCCAATTTCTGACCACTTTATTGGGTAGTTAAAATCGGTAAATGGGTGGTTTCTTGTACTCGTCGATAGAACAAATGGAGTTCTAGGGAATAGCTATGATTTTAGTTGACTGGAACAATGGAATTGGCCGAAAATAGGGCTCAAAGTGGGCGATATCGCTGATGCATAAATATCGCCGGGATCATTAATTTTGCAAGAGCATAATTTCGTAAGTTCTCCATCAAATTTCATACTTTTGGTGTCATTACCATCAGGAAGAGATTCTCTTATCATTTCATAAGAAAAACTTTTTTTTTTGTTTTTGTTTTTGAAAATTTTTCAACAGTAAGTTAAGGATCAGGGGTCTTGACACTGAAAGGATTAATACAATGCTGTTCTTCACCCAAGTGACCATATCTTTGGAATGATTCAACTTCTTACAAGATTCTTGCTAATTTATACATTCACACGTTAGTAAGGTACCATTATCATTACTGTTTTCAGTTTATTCCTGATACATGTTTTATAATGCTAATTTTACTGAAAACCCTGTTGCATTCTGCATTTAAATGAGCTAAACTAAAAACAGAGAGAGAGCAAAATTTCCTAGACTACAGAATTCTTAGGCTTTCTTTTGGACTGCCATTCATCAAAGAAACATCACATAGCCATCTCAAGGCTAAGAGAACAACTCCAAACACCTGCTGCTCCTGTTTCTTAATAAATGGATACCTAGGAATTAGCCAACTTTTGTAGGTTACATCCTTGGGAACAACCTAGAAAAAAAAAAGAGCCATTGGAAATAAGCGACACTGCTTAGCTTTCTAGGGTTATCCAGGATAATTAACTGTCTAGGGTTACTAATCACTCTTTACTAATCACCCTTTATCACTCTCTTATTTACCCCTATCTCACCTATGGAATTTGTGCATGGGCTCAACAACAATTAACCATCTCAGACCACTAATTCCCAACAAAAGGCTGCAGTTAGAATGATAACAAATTCCCACTACAGGCAGCACACTCCACCAATATTCAAAACACTCAACCTACTCACCATACAAAACATCCATACTTATTATTGCACCTATTACATACATAGAACACTTAACTCTGATATTAACCCTCCCCTCAAACATCTCCTTGCCAACCTCAACAGAACACATGACCATAACACAAGGCACAGATCACTCTTTGATGTTCCTCGTGTCCATCTCACGCTATGCAAAAACTCAATGCACATAAAAGGCCCTAAAATCTGGAATTCATTACCTGTAAATATAAAAGAAACACTACCTGTTTATAAATTCAAGTCTCTTCTCAAAGATCACTTACTCACTCAAAACCAAATAAATACTGAATAACTGAACCTTATAAATTGTATATCCAAAATGTTACTCACAATTATATCACACAAATGTTAAACCTAGGACCCAATCTAACTTTGTTATTTTTTTAAATACACTACCTAACAGAATACTCCATTCTACTGAATGTACAGTAATGCAAGCAACCATATGACCTGTCTTTGTAATACTCATTTGTGCTTTATAGTTATCTGTTTACAATAATGTTTTATCACTGATTTCATCATTGCTTAGTTAATCTTAAGTTAATTTTAAGCCAGCCCGTAATGCTATGCATATAAGTGGCTTTGGCATGCTGCTCTTACCTGTATTTTTTGTACCTCTGTATGTATGCTTAAATTACTAAATAAATAAATAAATAAATACAGAATAAGGTCTTCTTCCAAAGGTGGGCACATTTTTATGCAATGAGTTCAAACCAAACCTGTTCTGTAATTTGTTTGCATTCCTGTTATTACTATTTTGTTTCTTTATAATTCATGTTTATTTATAGTGATTGGGTTTTTTTCTCTCTCTGGTCAAGTTCTCTGCTTTAACAGGAGGACTTGTACTTCCTAATTGGCTATCCATTAAGCAAAATATTTGTATGCATATGCACCATAATGACAGTCCAATATGGTGGTGCAGATATTAACTGCCATAGTATGGTATTGTTTACGATAATGTTTTTGAAATTAGAAATGTGATAGGCATAATAAAACATTGAGAAAAGGCTCTTATTGCAAGGCTCATTCAGATTACATCACAGCAATGTGCATTTGTTTTGGAGCTATCGATGTATTCATTAGCGAACTTAGTGTAGGGAGAGATTATTTAAAACCTACTACAAAATAAACATGTGCCAATGTGTCCAGCATGAACATCATCATTAGGATTAGGATCAGTCATGTTCAAAGTTGAGTGCAGTGCTCCCTCAGACCAAGCATAAGGTGAATCAAAGTGAGCAGGCTTCTGTAGAATATCTAAATACTCACTGGCTCTCTCTCATACATGAAAGTGTATAAAAAAAAAGCGGTAAATACTTCCTGATTCAAAATTTTATGGAGAATTACAGTAGTCTTAGTGAAAGAATTATTTACCTGACAGTATGTGAAAAGTTTTATACATACATACATATATATTGTACATATATACCAAAGGTAAGAAGAAAGTTTAAATTTTTGTATACTGTAACAAAGTATTTAATGTACAGGTAATAAGGCCAGAGTTTATTTTAAGAGCTTTACTTACAGTTTATAATTTTCATATAAGTAGTTACAGTAATAACGTAATGTAGAATGACTTAATGAGAGCATCCATTTTTTTCTTTATAAATACATTTTCATACATATATTTTTATTAGCTTTCACATTGTCATTAAGACATGTGCACAGTATCTGAAAATGTGAATGTGTAAGTTGATACTTATGTGTAAGCACAGTTTCATATCCTTAGTTGTCTTACTGAAATGAACGCAATGTACACATTCAGAAGTTGCCAAGAAAAACTTGTTAAAATGTGAACCTAAGCATTGGAGATTATGCAGAATTCACATAGTTATTTAGATATTAATCTAGTGGAGTAAATGACACACAAATGGCCCTGATACCTTTATTAATGACAACATTTTGCCCACTGCGTGGACAGGAAAGTTGTCATTAATGAAGGTATCCTTTACATTGAAGCCCCAGTATGGTTCACCTTGCTGGTATTTACATACCATTCTGGTTCCATTAATCTAGTAACTGGTAGAGAATACTGGAGTCAAAGCTCAACATACATGGAGCTCTTGGTCCAAGAAATTGGAGCTACTCTTCCCTACCTTGGATAAATCTTATTACCTCCCATTCCCCAGGCACTTTATGATCCCTATGGGTTTAGCACTTCCCCAAGAACATAATAATAATAATGTACATATGTGGAGATGCTCTACGTGATCAAGAATTCCACTAGTTTGTGTGCATACATGAAATTGGTTATGCAGATCATTTTTAACAATATAATATTAATTTTTTAACCCATAAACGGTACAAACGTATATATATGTTCTTACCGCTAGCGCCCCAAGCATAAATATACATTTTATTTTTCCTGCCTCCAAATTTGACACAATTGGCCTGAGATGCCTGTTAAGGTAAGAGATAAGATAAGATTTCGTTCGGATTTTTAACCCCGGAGGGTTAGCCACCCAGGATAACCCAAGAAAGTCAGTGCGTCATCGAGGACTGTCTAACTTATTCGAGGACTGTCAGCATAGAATGGGTCTTAACACTCGGTGTGCCCCATATTAAAAAATCTGGGACCACTTAGTACGTACCTTGTGGGAGCGTCAGTTATATTGAGGGCCAGCTAGAGCAAACAGTGGGACAAACACCAAGGACTCACTGATGTAATGTCATATTAACACTCCCCTTTTAAGAGGAAAGTGATGTTAAACCCAAGTTTAGGGTCTGTCTATCTGTCTCACAGGTACACACAAATACAATTATACAAAGTGTAAATTACCTAGGATAACCTAAAAAATCCAAAGTGCTATACTGTGCTTGTAGATATAATGCATAAGAATACCTGTTGGTTCACAGTGGCTCTCTCTGAGACAGAGAGACAAGCAGAGAGATGGAAAAAGACAAGCAGACAGAGAAATGAGACAGAGAGACAGATAATCAGAGATACGAGCTCATCAAATGTCATCCCTTATCTCTGCACCCTCTCTGGCACCCATCAAATATCATAGCTTATCTCCTCTTGTCTCTGCACCCTTGCTGGAGCCCATCAAATGTCATCTCATATCTGATCTTATCACTGCCTTCCTGGATGCTTGTCACTGAACACTTGTCTTACACATTGCTTCAAGGGAATTTCTTCCTTCTTCCTTCTCCTCCTCCTCCTCCTTCCTTCTTCCTTCTTCCTTCTTCTTCTTCTATACTCCCGTGTATCCAAAACATTGCTGGGACCTATAAATACTTTGTATATATTCCTAGACAATAGTAAATGACCAAGGCAGGTGTAAATATCTACCTATCAATGTCTTTGTGATAATTTGAGTACAATTTCAGTACATAATATTAGTGTCAGAACAAAGATTGGTTATGAAATATCAAGAACTACAATAAATTGTAATTATCAGAACAAAAATTATATAAAATAATATAAAAATGAGAAAAAATGGTATATTGGCAACACTTCTGCAAACGGCAGGACTCTATGTTGCCGTCAGGTGAGCATTAAGTGCCAACTTTGCAACCTCATATCTCAGTAAGTGCTGACCCTAATTTTTTTATTTTAATCATATAACACTTAGAAAAATGTGCTCTTTATTTTCATTAAAAAATAATTTTTTTTATTTTTCAAAATATTCGGGGCACTTGGGTAGTGAACCTATATATACGTTTGGACCGTTTACAGGTTAAGTGAATTTTATCATAAGCCTTAAATATATCATCTAAAATTGGAACATACGCTGATACCTTGACTTACAAGTTTAATTCATTCCATTACCAAGCTCGTAATTCAATTTGCTCGTATATCAAATCAATTTTCCTCGTTGAAATTAATTGAAATGCCCATTAATCCGTTCCAGCCCCCAAAAAAACACCCCAGGAGCAAGAGAAAATACTTCAGTATAATGCTAATATCAACTCTACAGCTTATTTATCTATCAGAATTGATCTAATATGACATAATAAACACTGTAAGCAACATAGAAAGATGATATACTATTATACTGTAACTTTAGAATGAATAAAATAGGCCATAATATGGCAAATGTCCAGGACCAGTCGGAGCATATAAAATCATTACTGCTCCTCCCTATGATGTTTTCTCTGGTCCTGGGCAAAAGAAAGCAGAGTTTTTGAGAGGCTAACTGCACTAGATCACTAGTGCAGCGATATACGAATATCTCGGAAGTAAGTTATTGACTTATTTCATGAAGCCCACCATTTATTATTGAAGCAAATGCAATAATATTGACAGGAATCATAAAAAAAATTACTGTTCTACAATTGGCTTGTGGAATATTGGAAATATTTCAAATATTTTGAGATTTGTGTAGGAGTAAAGGCAAGATATTTTGCAAATGTCAAAAACTTAGCAACTTTATTTATTTTTTTTTTTTGTAGAATAACTAAAGATAATTACACGATTACCTCCAGTGAGAACATCGCACTAGCATTGTTTTATAAGTACCAAGTCCCAAAATTACCTTTTTTCGTTCATAACTCAGATTTTGGCTTACAACTCAAGGCAAAAAATTGACCGAGCAACGGCTTAGAAAACTCGTAAGTTGGGGCACTCGTAAGTCAAGGTACCGCTGTACTTAAGTTCATAAAGCAAATTATTAATTGTTAAATAGGGTACTGTTATCTTAGGTAATATAGTAAATCCAATAATTAATGTTTTTCTTTAAAAGCCTGAAAGGCACTGTGAAAAATATTAATATAGTTATTCATATTATCTTTGCTATTTGGGCAAGGCTAAACAAATGTACACAGTATGTACATAGATGTTTAAGTGGCAGTATTTTAATTACATGACTGTACAACTTTGAGTAAGACGGACATACCCTACAGGTGGTGCTGGGCCATACTGGTCAGAGGGTCGGCAGTGGAGGAGCCATGGGACTTATGAAGGGCCACCTCAACAGGAAGCTTCACAAGTGTTCCTACTGTCCTTACACCACCCATTGTTTTATAAATTACAAAAGACACATCTCCGCTCATACGGGCGAGAAGCCATATGCTGCGATAACTGCTCTAACAGACCTAATCCAAATGATATGATCTTCAGTGGCACATTGAACTGTTGAACATGCATTGCAAATTTGGATGTCTTACTGGAATTAAGACTAAAATTAGTTATTTAAATAATTTCTTTATACCTGTATCCTATATTTTAAGAGTGCCTCTTATCTTTGTGTGTAACTGTGCTGGAAAAGCTTTTGACTCTTTAAGTAGTTGTGTAATGGTAAGTTAGCTTATTTTAAATATTGCGTGATTATTGCATTAACTAGATTTGTTAACTTTTAAATATATTTTTCCTTAACTTGAAAATTTTGGTAACAAAAAACTTTTTGTTATCCCACAATGATACATGTACTGTATATCGTTTTTATATGTTCATTCACACAGTATTTCAGCAACATAGATAAAAGTGTAGTTATAACAGGTTGCAGGTTTACACCTGGTCTGCTTCCTAGTATTATGAGTGTGAGGCACAAGCAGTGGATGTTTTAGCAAGGAGACTGTAGAGATGTGTCTTGCTTGAGATCACCAATGGTGAAAATGTAAAGTAGAGAATATGTTGATGGGAGAAATCAGAAACCAGTGAGGTGTTATGAAAGTTATAATGCAAATTACAAATACCAAGGTTTGTTGAGATAGTTTTATGGTGCAGATTTAATGGAGTAAGATCAATTTTGACAGTGTGTATAAATATTAAGTAGACAGAGGGTACCCTAGGAAGTGTTTTGGAGAGGATATGACCCTTTAATAAGAGGAGGGGGGTGCCTTGATGCTGGCAAAGGGTTCTTGATACAAGAAATTGGAACTACCCTCTTCCTTGAATCAAACCTGACTGCCCCCTATTTCCCAGGTATTGAATGACTCTTATGGATTTGGTGCTTTTCCATGAAAATAATAATAATGGGGAGGATGTGAAAAAGGGTTTTGTGAGAGAGGGAGGAACACATTGAGCAGGTGTGTGTGAGCTTGTCTTTCTGGCTTGAGTGAAGGCAGTCATGGAATTTGACAAGCTATAGGAGCAAAGTAATACAGCATCTATGAAAGGAATCAGGAAAGCAATCAAACTTTACTTGAGGTTTGGAATGTGAGATGTACATTGCCTGTAATATAAAACTTGAGTGTAGAGGCTGTGATTGATGGGTCAGCAATGGGTCATGGTGTCAGTACCCTTCAGGAAACAAATAAAATCTTGGAAACCAAATGAGTTTATGTAACTGTGTTGAACATTACATCTGTGTTGTCTTGAAAGCTGGAATGTGATAAAATAACAAGCTATGGTGTGTTGAATCTTTTAAATATAATGGCAATATTTCCACTCATCTTTCAAAGTACAGGCACTATACTCCCCACCTCCAAAGCTTGGCTTTTCATACCTCTTCATAGAAACTACTGTACTATACTGATGCACCAGTAGCATATCAGAGACAGTTTATCTTTTCTTCTCTATAACACATGAATAAACATAGTACATGTACTTCACTTTGCGGTATACGTATTCAAATTTAATTTGCTCCAAAAGTAACTTTGCATCCTAACCTTACTAAACCTTTGCATAACCTAATAGAGCTTAATTATATCTAATGTAAGTGAGGTTAGCTAAATTTTGGTTTAATGTTGCTGTATTTACAGTTAGCATGGGTTTAATACATTTTTATAAATATTGTGGTACAGTATATGTCATTTTCATGATTTTTAATAAAATTTTTGCAGTTAAAGCCAATACGAATATGTTCTCTTCATATTTGGCAAAAGATTCCCTTCACAAAGATTGCCATGATTCCTGTAACCGACTTAAAGATTATTCTGTGGTAGCTGAGTTCAATTTTTTTTGTGTGTGTGTATAAACGGAATATGGTGTGTGTTATTTTAAGTTGTTAGTTGAATCTATTGAATAATTTAGTATGATGTTGACTGCCTTCCGTTATTCCCTCTCCAGGAAACTTGGTAACCATGGAGTAATAATAGATGATAAGAACTATTATTTAGAATCAGCATTATGTAGGCTGTTGTTTTCTTTTTTGATAAAATGAGTATGAGTTTCCAGTACCACAGAGCTAATTTTGTGGAGCAGTAAAACTATAGCAACACTTTTCCAATACATTTGTTGTGAAAATAAGCATGATGTAATAATGTACTGTACTCAGAAACACAAGATCATGCAGTCACAAGAATTACTCTCTCTCTACTTGAGTTGACAGAATAACAATGAAGGGTTGTTGAGAACCAGTTAAATACCTGTCTTCAAATATTTATTTGGCTTTTGATTCATGGCTGCTATCCAGAATTTTTCAGTGGTTTACTAGATACTATTGACTTTGCTTGTAACATGCAAGTCATTAGTGTACTGTATTGTATTACATGAAGCACTGAACCTGTGTGGGCCATTCAGCACACGGAGTGGTGGAGGCTCAATCCTCCATCTGCAAATCACGACCCGGTCTCTGATCTGTCTGGCTTTTGGTGATTGCAGGTGACAGCATTATATTACATTAATAATAATAAGCCTTAAACAGTATATATGGTAACATACAAGACCTTCAGTGTAAACTTGCTTATGGGAGTCAGAAATATAAATATAAGGTCATAACTCATGTGTTAAGGCGTTAAGTAAAGAAAAAGTATATTTACCCAGTTTATATACTAGATGTAGCATCAAATAGATCTTGTTATAATACATACCAGAGGGTTTAAATCTTTGCTGATAAAACTGCTTGGCTGAAAAATCATGGTAATATAAAATTATTTAGAATAATATTGTGACATATGTACATTATTAAATATATTATTTTCATGAAGTATAGTTAGTAAAGTTGGTGATACATTATTACCACTACAATGTGTCATTACATACACACTTGATGTGATCAGTAGCCCTGAGGATTATGTTCTCATAACACAAGGGGGGTGAGTGAGCACCCTATGGGATTGCTTGTGGGTAAGTGATACTAGGCTATGTTCGGCCTTTGTCATCCTAGTACATGAGCAGGCATGCCAGGCCAAGTTCCTCAGTGCTAGGCTGGGTGCTTTTTTTTTTTTTTAGTGGAATCAGTACCTGATTGGTGGCCGATTCGTGTAAATGGTGTACCATTTTAAATGTTATTTTTCAAGGTTAGATATTGTTTAACTATGATATTTTATTATTTGAATGTATTCATTTTTCTGGTTCAGAAGAGTATTGGTTGATTTTGTATGTCTAGTAGTTTCCAGGTATATGACTGGGCACTGTTGTGAGGCTACTGGCTGTTCTTTTCTGTATTAACCATTACCTAATTGCTTACTACAATGTTGGTTGATTCATATTCCTACCCCTTTTATTATATATATTGTTTGAGCTTTGTTTTATAATGTAGAAATTTAATACAGCACATACTATAAAAAACTTTATAATACTGATGACAGAAACCGATGTTTTTGTCGACACTGAACCCTCCAGTTGCTGTACTTTGTGTTGCACTACACCTGGTGAGGCAGGTACATACTAGAGTCATGGCCTTGTTACATATCTCAGTTATTCACACGTTATGTTAGGAAAATCATCTGACTAAATGGTGCAAATTATTCAGCACACTGGAGAATCAGGGTAGGTAATGGGTTAAAACACTGACAAGATGGGCAGTATTGTAGACAGGGTTTTACTGATGATGTTTAGCTAATGCATGGGTCTTTATCAAGTGACTTAATAAAGGCTCTTCATGGGTGAAATATCATTAGTAAAGCTTCCTTGTAACCGCATTTGTGTCTACGTATTTCTCAGTGGAGAATTCTTTAATAATAGACTTTAACTGCAGGAGTCAAAACTTATTGGCTATTGTTCTATTTCTCTTTCTAAGTTTTTGGTGATCAGACACTGTTTCAGGTGTATTTTAGACAATATAATATGGACATAAGATAGGTATGAAAGCATAAATGGTTTAGTCCACAATGCAGCTTTCAAAAATGAGACATTATTGTTGCATCTGTTAGAAGCAAGTGTACTCATACCACCCCTGCCAGGTCTAGGAGTCCTGTATCTTTTATCTTTAACCCCTAAACAGTCCAAACGTATATATATGTTCTCTCCCCCAGTGCCCCGAATATTTTGAAAAATAAAAAAAAATAGTTTTTTTTTTTCATTGAAATAAAGAGAATTTTTTTTTAAGTGTTTTAGTATTAAAATAAAAAAAATAGGGTCAGTACTTACTGAGAGATGAGGCTGCAAAGTTGGCACTTAATGCTCACCTGACGGCAACATAGAGTCCTGCCGCTTGAGGAAGTGTTGCCGATATACCATTTTTTCTCATTTCTATATTATTTTATATAATTTTTTGGTTCTGATAATTACAATTTATTGTAGTTCTTGGCATTTCATAACCAATCTTTGTTCTGACACTAATGTTAGGTACTGAAATTGCACTCAAATTGTTACAAACACATTGACAGGTGGACATTTACACCTGCTTTTGTCATTTACTACTGTCTAGGAATATATACAAAGTATTTATAGGTCCCAGCAATGTTTTGGATACACGGGAGTAGAGAAAGAAGAAGAAGGAAGAAGGAGGAGGAAGAAGAAGTTCTCTTGAAGCAATGTGACAAGCATCTGGGAGGGCAATGATAAAATGAGATATGGGATGACATTTGATGGGCGCCAGCGAGGGTGCAGAGATAAGACGAGATAAGCTATGATGTTTGATGGGCGCCAGCAAGGGTGCAGAGATAAGGGATGACATTTGATGAGCTCCTATCTCTGTCTCTGATTATCTGTCTCTCTGTCTTGTCTCTCTGTCTGCTTGTCTCTTTCTGTCTCTCTGTCTGTCTCAGAGAGAGCCACTGTGAACCAACAGGTATTTTTATGCATTATATCTACAAGCACAGTATAGCACTTCAGATTTTTTAGGTTATCCTAGGTAATTTACACTATGTATAATTGTATTTGTGTGTACCTGTGAGACAGATAAAAAGAGATAGAGACAGATAGACAGTGACAGAGACAGAGATAGACAGACCCTAAACTTGGGGTTACCATCACTTTCCTCTTAAAAGAGGAGTGTTAATATGACATTACATCAGTGAATCCTTGGTGTTTGCTGCATAGTTTGCTTGAGCTGGCGCTCAATTTAACTGGTGCTCCCACAAGGTACTAAGTGGTCCCAATTTTTTTAATATGGGGCACACCGAATGTTAAGACCCATTCTATGCTGACCAAGCATCTCAGGCCAATCGTGCCAAATTTGGAGGCAGGAAAGTTAAAACGTATATATACGTTTGAGTTGCTAGCCGTAAGAACGTATATATATATATATATGTTTGGACCGTTTAGGGGTTAACCTGTTCAAAATAAGGCTGAGCTTGCCTCTCTTGCCAAGCCTGAGACATGTGACTTGTGCCATGTGTAGCCATGTAAAGACTAAATGGAGTGTTATTTAATGGCTGTTGTTTGATATATTTTACATTATTACCATCATATTGTGTCTCGTGACTTTACAGTAACAATATAAAGATTATTTAAAATAATAAAAGTGCTTATCTATATCATGTGAATTTTATATCTTTATAAATCTTTTTTATTTTTACCCAGAGAGTAAAAGAAATGATGGGGAAGGGGAAGACATGGTTAAATTTAGCAAAGAATTTAAGGCTTGTCGACCAGGCAGGCACCAGACGAGCCTCACCCAAGGCTGGGCTCTGGGAGTAGAAAAACTCTTGGAATTCATCAAAGGTCTATCAAGGGTATAAAAGGTGCAGTATGTCATGCTAGAAAACAATCTTTAGACTGTATAATGATAAAAAAAGGAAAAGTTGATTTTTTTAAGATACAGCACTAGTGAAAACAAGAAACCTAAGTGATATGGAATTATTGGTGTGCATATATAATGAGAGCAGAATGCTTCCCAAAATAAAGAATAGAGGGGAAATGGCTTGTAGAACTGACCCTCTTAGAATCTTGGCTAGAACCATTAATATAGAGCCAGATAAGATAAATATTGTTATATTTATGCAGTACATTATTTACATAAGGCACTAAACCCATATGGGGCATTCAGCACTTTTAATGATGAAGGCTCAGTCTTTTATCTGCTAATCACAAGATGTAAACTGCTCTCGCAATTAATTCCTCTACCTCTCAATGGAGAGATAGAGGAATTATCATATTTGTGCAGAGAGGGGGGGAGTAGGATGACATCATAGCTCTCACTTCCTATTGTAGTATAAGGACTCTTTAAGTACATAAGAGGCAATGAAACCCAACTTCTCTCTCTTGAGAATCAAGCTGTTAAGAGTGTCCAGGTGAAGCAAAAGTTGTGTTATGTGAGGAGAAACTACTAGTTTTTTTTTTTTTTTTTTTTTTTTTATCATGCTGGCCATCTCCCACCAAAATACGGTGACCCAAAACAGAAATGCTTTCACCATCATACTATCACTGTCTTGCCATGAGGAAGGTAGGGTAGTGATCTGTGGTATTATCTGTGATTATGCCTGATTTTAAAGGGGATATGGTGTTGGTTCAGATGTGGTCTAGTAGGGAAACACTAGTCTCCGTAACTCTTGTAGGTTTTGCTACTGATGGTAGCAACATGCAGTTACTCATAGTGTTTGTGAATTCAGTAACGTGTGGGTCCTGGTCTTGCAGGAGATTTATATTGAAGTCACCTGAGAGTAGTAAGTGATCTTTGTTCATGCGTGCATCAGTTATCATACTTCCTAGGTTTTGACTAAATTGGCTAATGTTTGATTGTGGAACTCTGTAGATGTTTATCACTGTGAGAGGTTTTTGTAGGTATTTGGATTTGAATTTAGCTATTATATATTCCCCATGTTCATCCCTTGTGCAAGTATTAGTGTTACATTCTAGTTGGTCTGAGTAGTATATAGCTGTGCCACCCCCTTGTTGATCTGGCCTACAGTTGTGTATGGCTGTGTAACCAGGAATGGCATAGACATCTGTAGTATCAGGCTTTAGCCAGGTTTCGGTGAGTGTAATGATGGATATACTGGCATGCAGGGAATTTAGTAATGCTATGAGGTCATCATAATGTTTACTTAAAGATCTGATATTGTAGTTAAAGACACTTATGTTTTTGTTGGCTCTGAGAAGTGCCTTTGATTGTTCTGCTGTGTAGTAATTGATTCATTTAAGTCATTCAATAAGAGGTTGGTATCAGGATCAATGCTTGTTATCATAAGATTTATAGTGAATCTATAGTTAGAATTAAGTATAAGACAAAGTAAATATTCTAAAGCTATAAAATAGCACCTGAGTTATTTTAACAAATGTAAAAATTTGGGCTAAGGTAGTTCTTTAAAGCTAAAATAAAGGTGACAATATAAAAGGGACTAAAAAAAAAAATTGTGGTGAACAAATAAAGTGGTAATCAAATAAATGAGCTAGGGAATATTATGGCAAAATAGTGAACTTATTACACTTTAGCACCTGAGAATAGCACCTTAATTATTTTTAACAATAATGAATATGTGAACTAAGGTTGTTATGTAAAGCTATATTACAGCTAAAATAAAGGAGAAAATATATAGGGACTAAATTAACCCTTTGACTGTCGCAACCCCCAATCCTGAGGTGTCTCCTGGTGTCGCAAAATTTAAAAAAAAAAAAAAAAAATTTTCTTATGAAATGATAGAGAATCTTTTCCAGATTGTAATGACACCAAAGAAACGAAATTTGATGGAAAACTGACGGAATTATGCTCTCGCGAAGTTAGTGACCTCGGCGCTGTTTACAAATCGACGATTTCGCCCACTTTGAGCCCTATTTTCGGCTAATTTCATTGTTCCAGTCGCCCAAACTCATAGCTATTTCTTTAGAACTCCATTTTTTCTATCGATTGAGTACAAGAAACTGCCCATTTACCGATTTCAACTACTTAATAATGTGGTCAGAAATTTGCAATTTGGCCAATTTCACGAAAACTAAAAAAATGACAATTTCAAAATAAGGTCCAGAATGAACAATGCAGACATTCCTGGCCCTAAAATAACATTTTCTTTGCTCATCAGTCATGTCTCCAGGCCCCTCTGATATTACTCTTGCTTTCTATTTTGAATTTTTATTCAAACAAAAAATAGAAGACTTACTATTATGCAGACTACTGCAATACTGTAATAATTGTATAAATAACATCAACCCATTCATGACTGCATATTAGAATGGCTAGTTGGACATTTATTGGACAATGGCATCATTTGTTTACTTTTGAACATTGGCAAAAATCGAACATTTCCCCTACTTTGAGCTCCATTTCTAGGTTCTTTTTATAGTAAAATCAATCAAAATCACCTCTATTTCTATAAACGTTTTCCGTTCTATCAAATGAGACCAAGAAAACGAGAATACAACCATAAATACTCTACGAAAGTAGACCACAAGGTCGGCATTTTAATTAAAAAAAACGGTCGGAGTTTTTTTTTTCTCATTATGCACTGCGTGCTCCAGGATTTTTTTTATATGGTGCACACTGACCACACAGACCCATTCTCTCACATGTGGGCCTACCAGCTTTCTCCTGCTTGATTTGAAGCCGCTAGAATTTATGAGTATATATACATCAAACACGGTACCTCGTAAGACGTATATATACAGCCGCGACAGTCAAAGGGTTAAATAATGGTAAACAAAGTTAATTTGGCAGATAGTAACTAAGATATGATTATTGATTTGGGAGTAAGATCTGATTTGTTATATATAATAAGTTGAGCAATTAATTGTACTATAAAAAGTAAAAACTAATATGAAGTAGTTGGTAGTAGCAGCAAAAGATAGTTTTGGGCCTTGAACAATAATGTAATTGAAATATACACTAATTGCACACACAATATAGTCACTAAGATATGAAAATAATCTGAGAGTAGGAATTGCTTTATAGCATAAAGTTTGAGCAATTAATATCACTATAGAAATATTATTTAGGTAGTTGATACTAGCTAGTGAGGGAAGGTTCAAAGTATTGCACAGTAGTGGAGTAAGAACATACACTAGTTAGTTATTTGTTGTTTGGGAGAAAAGGGAAAATTAGGTATGATTATAAGAGAATTTTAACAGTCCTATTAAGTATCCTATTAGCAAAAAATAAATTGTGATTTGGGAATCTGGGAAGATAACACAAATTGGGTCACACAAAGAACTGTGTGGGACACCTGGGATAGTGAGGTAGTAAATACTATCTAGGAGGTGATAATACAGGGATTAGTTCAATAATGACATAGTAACATACACTAACATAGTAAGGATTTGGTCACTAATATCAGTCAGACTCTGTAATGTTTGCATCATGAAGGAAGTTTGCTAGTTCATTTTCATTTGTAAAGTAGTACACACGGCCTACATTTGTTTTTCTTACTAGAATTTGTCCATCACATACAAAGCACTGGTGAAATTTATCATTATTCTCACGTTTTAGCTTTCTCACTCTGTACAGGAGGTTCTGTCGTTTTTTTGTGAAACACTCATTTATGTATATATCTTTTTTTGCTTTTATAGATGAAATTATTAGATTTTTTTTCCTGTCTTGTGTGTGAAATCTGAGCATAACACTTTTTCTACTTTGGTTCCCTAGTAATCGTGATTCTTTTATTTCCGACACTGGTACATTAACATGTAGGTGGTCACGTATGATCTGGAGAGTTATATCTTTGCAGCTGGAATGGTTTAATTCACTGGGAAAGAGTGGACTGTTAATTACTACTGCATCAGATAGCTTGTCTTGCTCTGCCTTATCATCTTGGTTAGCAAAATAATTGATCAATTGGGTATCCATGTTTATTTTCCAGTCCTTGACGACATTATCAATCTTCGCGTTTGGGGAAGTTATTTGGTCTGTGTGACTGGCTATGACTGATTGGAGGGTCTTGCCAAATCAGTCATGCCAGATGATGTTAGCTGTTGTTCAAGGTTGTTGATCTTGTTCTCAAGATGCAGTAACTTAGATTCATTGTTTGTTATTGTTGCACGAAGAGACGTATTTTCAGCACGAAGATTTAAGTTATCCGCCGTTAGGGTGGTGATGTAGTGCTTTAGTGTATCAGGATCATTAGTCATACCTGGGAGCATATCAGCTGGGTTAAATCCTATGAAGGTAGTAGAGGTAGAGAGAGAGTCAGTCACAGTTGGTGGTGTTGTGGAGTTGCCTGGGTTGGTGGGTGAGTCGACCATGTTTGTTGTTGTTGATGCATCGCTCTGGGTTGTAAGGGAGGTGGATGATGCACCGGCGTCCTGCTGGGTCCTCTTATGGAATAGTTGATTTCTAGGCGCTACCTTGCTGTTCTTAGTGCTCTTTCTTCTAGTAGCTGGTCTCATAGTAGTGCAGGAGTTGCTGTGGTTAGATGAAGAAAGTAGGATAGTTAAGAGCTTGAAGTAGGTAGTCGTCTGGCAGCGGGGTTGAGCTTGGAGTTTGTGGGGCAGTCTTCGCTTTACTCGGTGATTTTTCGGTTTGTAGGTACCACTGTTAATTATCTTGAGTCATGCTGGGTTCTACGTACGCTAGTGCAGTTATGATTGCAATTAGGCCATCATTGAAGCAT